GGGTGTCCTTGTGCATGAACCACAGAAGATAGGTCTGCAGGTACAACAAGTAATTAGGAAGGCAAATGGAATTTTGTCCTTCATTGCTAAAGGGATTGAGATTAAAAGCAGAGAGGTTATGTTGCAGCTATACAAGGTGCTGGTGAGGCCACACCTGGAGTACTGTGTGCAGTTTTGGTCTTCTTACTTGAGAAAGGATGTATTGGCACTGGAGGGCGTGCAAAGGAGGTTCACTAGGTTGGTTCTGGAGTTGATGGGGTTGGCTTATGAGGAGAGATTGAGTAGATTGGGATTATATTCATTGGAATTCAGAAGATTGAGGGGGGATCTTATAGAAACATATAAAATTACGAAGGGAATAGATAAGATAGAAGTGGAGAGGATGTTTCCACTGGCAGGTGAAGCTAGGACAAGAGGGCATAGCCTCAAGATTAGAGGGAGCAGATTTGGGACTGAATTGAGAAGGAACTTATTCACCTAGAGGGTTGTTAATCTATGGAATTCCTTGTCCAGTGAAGTAGTTGACGCCACTTCAGTAAACATTTTTAAAGATAAGGTAGATTTTTTTTGAACAATAAAGGAATTAAGGGATACGGTAAGAACGCGGGTAAGAGGATCTGAGTCCATGAATAGATTAGCCATGATCTTATTGAATGGCGGAGCAGGCTGGAAGGGTCGGACGGCCTACTCCTGCTCCTAGTTCTTATGTTCTTATGTTCTTAATACTGCCTGAGATGCAGAAAGTCAGACAGGAAATAAAATTCCATGGATCCGTAGAATCCCTACAGTGTAGAAACAGGCCCTTTGGCTCAACAAGTCCACACCAACCCTCAGAGCACCCCAACCAGACCCATCCCTCTGTAACCCACCTGATCTACATATCCCTGAACACTATGGGCAATTTAACCTGGCCAATCCACCCAGCCTGCACATCTTTGGATTGTGGGAAGAAACCAGAGCACCCCCATACAGACAAGGGGAGAACGAGCAAACTCCACTCACACAGTTGCCCAAGGGTGGAATTGAACCAAGGCCCCTGGCACTGTGAGGCAGCAGTGCTAACCACTGAGCCACCGTGGCACAAGAATGTGCAAACTCCCACACAGTCACCCAAGGCTGGAGTTGAACCCAGGTCTCTGGCATTGTGAGACAACAATGCTAACCACAGTGCTGCCGTGCCACCCTAACAGGGGATGATCACAGAATCTCTACAGTGTGAAAACAGACCATCGAGTCCACACTGACTCTCCTAAGAGTATCCCACCCAGACCCACCCCCTTACTCTATCCCTAAAACCCTCATACATTTGTGCTTATAGAAGGAAGTACAGAAATAAGGAAAATGTGAGGAAAATAAGCGATTGGTGTTTAAAGTGCAGCAACATGTGGCTGACATCTAGAAAGTTTGCAACAAGCTGTGACGATAAATCGCCTACTTAACTCCAGGATAAATTTATTTTATATTGTTAATGGCAAAACTGGGCAGAATTTCCGGTGAATGGCAATTTCATGCAAACTGCCATTCCAGTCATTTTTGTTTTTATGAAGAAGGGTGCTCCATATTCCTGACAGGGGATTCTGTTCAGTGCTCCATCAGAAAAGTAGAGTGTGCTTCCATTCTGATAGTACCTTTTTTTGGTGTAAGACTGTCAGAGGAAGGTAAACCACTTCCCCACTCAACTACGCATTTTCTGGCATTTAAAATCTTGTCAGCCACTTCGACAACTGATGTCAATGACTAAGTACATAAGGTAAGTGTGATGCTCGGAAGATGAAGTGCCAGATGGGTAAACAGGAATAGGATTCCAGGGCTAGGATGCTAGATGAGGTTGGGGTAAGTTGCCAGGCCAGTAGGCTGCTAGCTGGGTAGGGTTAGGGTGCCAAGGGTGGAATGCCAGATGGGTAGGGGTAGGCTACTGGGTAAGTAGAGTGCCAAGTCAATAGGGGATAGAGTAAGGCACCAAGTTGCCAAGTAAGTAATGCACTGTTTAGGGTAGGTCAGCATAGGTGAGTGAAATGGGATCTGAGGGGCAGGTTGGGTTCGATCTGGCAGGGATGTGTTCGGGTTCTGTTCGGTATGATTATGGAGGAAGGTGGTCAGGTTGGGTCCAGAGGCAGGTGAAGTCATCGAATCCCTTCAGTGTGAAAGCAGGTCATTTGGCTCATTGAGTCCACAGCGACCCTCCGTACAGCATCCCACCCAGACCCACCCCCCTACCCTAACCCTGTAATCCTGCATTTCTCATGGCTAATCCACCTAGCCTGTACACCCCTGGATAATTTTGCATGGCCAATCCACTTAACCAGAACATCTTTGGAATATGGGAGGAAACCCACACAGATATTGGGAGAATGTGCAAATTCTACCTGAGGGTGAAATTGAACTTGGGTCTCTGGCATTTTGAGGCAGCCAGGCTAACTACTGAGACATCTGGGTCAGATTGAATACTTCTGAGCAGGAAGGGGATGTTAGAACACCCCTGATTGGCCCACAGCTTCTGGCAACCCAGGATGCCAGTGTCAAGGCCTGTATTAGGTTGAGAAATATGCCGATGCTCACCTGTCAGCTCTCAGCGAGCTGATTGGCACTTGGTTGCATTACCTCGGTGATGGGGATGGTTGTTTAGTCAATGCCTAACACGTATACTCTCAAAAAGGAAAAAAGTACTGAGCCCACGGTGTCTGGTGTGTGTACCATCCACTAGATGTGAACAAAGAACAACACAGCACAGGAACAGGCCCTTCAGCCCTCCAAGCCTGTACCAACACATTTTGCCCTTCCATACTAAAACTGTCTTCACTTACAGGTTCCATATCCCTCTATTCCCTTTCTATTCATGTATTTGTCCAAGTGTTTCTTGGATGCTGCTATTGTGGCTGCGTCCACCACCTCCTCTGGCTGCACATTCCATGCCCTTACCAACCTTTGTGTGAAAAACTTGCCTCTCACATCTCCTTTAAACTTCCCCCTCACACCTTGAACCTGTGTCCCCTAGTAATTGACCCCTCCGTCCTGGGAAAAAGCCTCATAGTTTCCACTCTATCCATGCCATTCATAATCTTATAAACTTCTATCAGGTCACCCCTCAACCTCCCGCTTTCCAGTGAAAACAAACCCAGTCTATCCAACCTTTCTTCATAGCTACAATCTCCCATACCAGGCAACATCCTGATAAACCTTTTCTGTACCATCTCCAAAACATCCACATCCTTCTGGTAGTGTGGTGACCAGAACAGTACACAATATTCCAAGTGTGGCCTAACTCAATTTTATAAAGCTGCAGCATAACTTGTTTATCCTTATACTCAATGCCCTTTCCAATGAAGGCAAGCATACCATAAGCGTTTTTTACTATATTATCTACCTGGGCTGCCACCTTCAGTGAGTGATCTGTGGACCTGCACACCCAGATCCCTCTGCATATCAATACTCGTAAGGGTTCTGCCATTCACTGTATAATTTCCACCTGTACTTGACTTTCCAAAATGCATCATCTCACATTTGTCAGGATGAAACTCCATCTGCCATTTTTCTGCCCATGCCTCCAACTGATCTATATCCTGCCGTATCCTTTGACAATCTTCCTCACTGTCCATAACTCCACTAATCTTTGTATCATCTGCAAACTTACTAATTAGACCAGCTACGTTTTCCTCCAAATCATTTATGTAGACTACGAATAGCAGAGGTCCCAGCATTGATCCCTATGGATCACCACTAGATACAACCCTCCTTTGCAAAAATCAAATGTACTGCAGCACTTCTCCAAGGCTCTTTTAAAAGTACCTTCCAAACCCAAAAGCTCTACTAACAAGGGTCACAGCCCAAGGGCTAGGCCATTTAGGATTGAGATGAGGAGAAATTTCTTCACCTAGAGACTGGCAAGTTTGTGGAATTCTCTGCTACAGAAAGCAGTTGAGGCCAAAACATTGAATGTTTTCAAGAAGGAGTTAGATATAGTTCTTAGGGCTAAAGGGATAAAAGGGTTTGGGAGAAAGCAGGAACAGCAGGCTGAGATGGGTGATCAGCCATGTTCATATTGAATGGCGCGGCAGTCTCAACAGCTGAATGGCCTACTCCAGCTCCTACATTTCAGATATTTTGTAAGAAATGATCAGTATTAAAATTTGTGTTCTACTTTAATGCTGAAAACAGTGTGAATGTATTCTATCTTGCTATGTTTATTGCCTAGAAGAACAAAGGTTCCTGGAAACACTATCACCTGCAAATTTCCCATCAACTTTGAGAGTTGGAACTATATCATTGCGTCTTCATGGTTGCTCTATCAAACTCCTGGTCCTTCCTCCCTAACAGCACTATGGGTGTACCTACACCAGATGAATGGCAGCAGTTCAGGAAAGCAGCAACTCGGGATGGGGAACAAATACTGGCTTTGTCAGGGAAGCTCATATCTGATGAGAAAATTAGACAATGGAAGCTAGTCTCCTTGTATAAGGCCATTCGTGATCCAGATAGTATTTCACAACAATCCAGAAACTTCCACAACCCTTTCATGGTGCCAGACTGCAGATTGCTTGAATTGATTCTGTTTTGTAACTTTTCAAAATGGGATATTAATTCCCCCGAATTCTTAATCTTAATCTAAACCAATTTGACCTAGATGCTGAGTTGGCTCGAAAGGTTTCAGGGATTTATCAGATTCTTTTACTCCTATTTTATCCACCAATAAGATGAATTAAAATAAGTGAACTACACTTTGGATATTTTGTAAGAGATGATCAGAATTAAAATTCATGTTCTACTTTAATGCTGAAAACACTATGAATGTATATGTCAATAACGTATGGAAAATACCAACTCCTACATCATACTTTATGACAAAAAAATTCTACTCTTCTTATTTTGAGCTATATAGTAAAACAAACCTTTGATGCCATCTCTTTCAAAATATTTTATATTTCCCAGTTCAAAATATTTTATTCCATGAAAATTAGTATGTAAAAATCTAAATGAAAGACGGATCTTCTGCGTATAACTACCTCGGCATCTGCATTTGATCCCTGTGGGCTGTAATAATAGCCACCATCATCTTCCATGACCACCTCTCCATAGTCATCATACATTCCAGAGGGAGAGATTAATCTTCGGCGACTGCCGTACTGCGGGACCTCATACCTAGAATTAGGGTCAGAAATCGATGCATTACTACCTCTTGTTTTAGACAAAAAAAATTCCACGAGATATTTAAACTCTCTTTCCAGTCAGCTCACTTATCAACAAAAGTTGGCAGATGCAATCAATCTAACTCTGCGAAGGTTACAGCTTATTTAAGTTTGGAACGGTTGCCTATGCTCACAGCAAAACTACTTTCACAAAACTTACTGCAAACTCAAAGTTCCTTTTTCACGTGAGATGCATCATTGCTCAAGAAGTAAAAGTGCACAATTAAAGATCACATCATCTAACTTGCATTTTTGTACAACTTCTGAATAAAATATTGTAAAGCATGCCTGTAGTAGGATCCAATAACCAATTTCCACCATGTTAATGTTTAGCAGTAAAGATTTCATAACATAACATAAAATATAGGAATACAGCAGTATAACTAAATATTTTGTAATCTTAGATAAGATTGAGCATATTTAAGTCGTCTTTAATTTTTGTAGAGAACAACAATAGCTGATATTAATAAAAAGGAATAGTAACAAATAATATGATACGCCAAACTATATTTAAATGGTCTAATTGTTCTAGAAAGTCATCCCTCAGTATTAATTGACATGGTGTTTGCAGATGTTCATCAAAGTGTCTTGGTTAAATAAGCCAAAGCCAAATTCAACGATTTTCCCAGTTTTATTTTTTGACAGGACTCAACCTCAGGTACATAAATCACAACTAAATTGTGGCAATGTTTCACTTATGAATATTTTAACTTTTAATTCCTGTATGATATGTTATTTAAACTTTACCAGTTATATCAAGTTGAATCAAATAAATCATTGGGCTTAACCTTATGTTTTTTGGCTAAGGCTGAGTGGTGTGAAGTTTTTGGTAGGGTTTGTTTCACTGTGATGCCAAGCAAGTTCTCTCGTCCAATCTTGCCAAACTTGCCTCATTAATTACCAACCACACCCCATGGTATCTCTCACATTCGATTTCTGCTCCATCTTTCCTTCCTAGAACAACTGACCACTCCACCAGCATCCTTTGCATTTGCAACACATTTAAAAGCCCGTTGTGGAGCTGGTCAAACTTCAGCCCAAAGCTGCCCTGCACAATTGCTGACATTTGCCCTGGACATGGCAGACAGGGAAATTTATGCTTGTTTTGTGGGAGGGGATCTGCAGTCCCTGTTGGACAAGGTTGTTATTCAGGCAGGACTTCCTCTTCCTCCAGGATCTGTAGGGCAGGCCATAACACCAGACTATACCAACTTGGTCTGAGGTTGCCATTAGGTTAAAACAGTTTCAGCTGTCTGGAGGGTTGTCCACCACTGTAGGAAGAAGGTCAATCTCCTTCTCCACTGCGCCAGTGTAAGGTCCATGACCTTCTCTCTGATACTTCACAACCATTCCATCTCTGGTACTGTAGCCATCTCCAACCAAGGCTCATCTCCACCACTCTCTCTGTTGCCTGCAACTATTTTCCATTTGCTGCCACCCATCCCAACCCCCGACACTACTAACCCTGCCTGCCCTCTGTGCTGCCTATTCACTCCCTCGGGACACCTCCCCACTTGCAGCCACAGCAATAGCTGTGCTGCCCATTTTCATCTCCCCAGTAGCTGCCTCTCTTTCATTCTGGGAGGGAAGCAGCCTGGAATTGGGCAGAAGACTCAAAGCAGCTGGTGGGCTGCCCCACATTTGGGAGAGGATCCTGACTCTGATTGCACCAAGCAGGGCCTGGACTGGTATCGGAGGCTACACTTGACTTGACTGAGGACTCCTGACAGCCGTGGGAGAATCCCAGCTTTGTGTCTTTGCTAAACAGCATGGCAACATAACAGTAATGTGATCCTGGTGTTGCTGGCTGAGGGGACAAAGTGACAAAAAGGCAAAACAAGGTAATGCAAGGAGGAATGCTGTGAGCATGCAGGCAGGGTGCTACGATAGCAAGTGAACTTGCTAGGGATACAACCTGGTCCAGTTTATGGGCTGGGTGCATGTCCCTGGGAGCCCAGTGTCCTCGCTGCAACATATTGTCAGTGCAGCCTGGGTCACAGCATTGAAGTGCAGAAGGTACCTGTAAATGGGCTGGTGATGTATCATACGTGTTATTGGAGGCTGGCCCATGTCAGATGCCAATGTCCTTGGATGTGGGATGTGAATGGCTGGTATTCATGTAGAATGCCCAGAGATGCTGGCACTCCGTGCCCAATATTGAGTTCATTTAGAGCCAGCAGCGAGCTGAATCAGCAAGTTTCCCGCAGTTGCTTCCATGAAAAGTTTACTGATCCCTAGCTTCTTTGGCAAGCTTGGTAAGATGGGAATCTGAATGTTAATGAGGCACGTTGTGGTGTTATACAAATGGTTAACCAGCAACAATGACTGTCAACTGGCATCTCACTGCTGCCTGGAATCAATCTCGTCACAATGCTTGTGAAAATTTTGTACGATGGACAGAGAGGACCTCCCCACACTAGTCGCCCCATTCCACCACAAATCAGACATCCATAAGATTCTGATATGACATTCAACTATTAGATTTTAACATTTTTTGGGTCTAGTACAGCGCTAACAAAGACTGTTTAAAATGGTTCCTTTGTTCACAAAATGCTCCAAAGAGATTCTATACTGTCACATAAGGCATCCAGTTCATCTGTGCCAGCTCACAAGGACAAGCTCATACAAGTTCTGGAATCATTGCTAAATGGAAGGCAGTTAAGGTAGAAATTCATTGCAGACAGTCACACAGACGAGGCAATATTAGGTACGCTGCCTGTTATGTCCAGTATCAGATATTTAGTTCCGCTGCTGTTAATTTAATTAGACATCAAGTGCTGTGAACAACAGGCAACCGAACCAATATCATCCTATCACAGCTCGACATGAATTTCTATCCCATTGACTTTAAGCTATACGAATGCTGTTATGACTTGTCGGCTCTAAAAAGGGGTATAATACTAAATTCATCTGACCAGTTGACATTAGTCTCAGGCATTAATATTGACTGCAAATTTATATTCAGAATGCAGTTACTGCTGAATTCCTATGGTCTACTAAACTGCTTTTAATTCTCAGATAATTCAAACTGTTTGATGTATGGTCTCTCAGAGAGCCACATGTAACCTTCATTAACTCATGCATAAATTTAGTACAATTGATGAAGAATGAAGGTAAAGGGATATGAATTAATTTGGTTTCCTTGATCTCAAGGTATTGATTCCAATGTCGTTACAACATAATTTTGTTTGTAAAATACTGCCTGTATATCTCTGTTTCAGATAGCTTCAGTTTGCTTAGAATGTAACTATCTCTACTGTTCACGATTACTATTCCAAACATCTTAGGTACTGAAATTTCACCTCAGAAATTAAGGTCTGAGAAAGTCTCTTGAAGGTTAGGACAACACTGAATCATTTGCTGATCTGATGCAATCTTATTTATGAGTGGATAATTGCAAACCTTGAATAAAATTGCTTCAGTATCTCAAATCATTACTGCTAACCTTGTACATGATTAGCCCATTAATCCATGTAGCATCATTATTTCTTTTTTCATCCTTGCACATTATGTTTCTTCTCATTATTAGTGCAGGTTAGCCATGTTAAAATGAAAGTCAACATAAATGGAACTTTTGTGATAGGTGTAATATTCACAGGCCAGGCATGGGGGTTGGATTGCCCATGGTTGTGATCTGTTGGTATGGGCAAGGATGGTTACTGAATTCTTCCTGAGCAGTAATCAGTCCTCTAAATGTATAATTCAGGTATCAAGTGGTTCAATTTGCCCTTATTTAGTCACTATGAAATAGAGAAGTCCATTGTGTGCTGCAACAGGGAAAATCAATAAAGACAGGTCTACACATACTGTACAGCAGCCCATGCATTTATTAGCAGTCATAGATGGTCACTGATCTCAATCCTAATTGTTATGTGAATTTACAAAGTGCAGTTATCGAACATTGACTGAAGGTTTTCAACAGCCTGATGCCTTTCTCTTGGTAAGGTCAACAAGAAGGTTCATTTTGGATGTCCACATGATTCGATTTTCATGCACATCTTAACATTGATGTGAATTTCACTCAAACATAACGCATGCAAATATGTAAGTAGAGGTCCTAAGGCACTTGTACAGCCCTGACTACAATTATAGCTATTTTTAATAAACTTGTTCAGCTGTGTTGTGACGCATCTCTGGAGCAGGTGGTGTTTGAACCTGGGCTTCCTGGCTCAGAGATAGGGGCTACCACTGCACCAAGAGAGACCACAGAATTTTTTCTGGATTTGATATTCACCATCTGCTATGGTGAGATTCAAACCCCAGAACATTATTCTGAGATTATAGATGATTAGTCCAATGACAATACCACTACACCACTGCCTCTCTCTCTCCACCAAGGGCTTTCATGCCTATTTTTAGACCCAACTTCAAAATACACTGGAAGCTCAGCACCATATCCTCTGCTCGTGGGCTCCGCTGCCCACTGGATTCACGTAGATTGCTAACGGGCCCAGATCCTGCACTCTGCAGCACAGAGAAAGATAGAAAATAGGAGCAGCAGTGGCAGGCCATTCAGCCCTTCGAGCCTGCTCTGCTATTCAATGTGAACATAGTTGATCATCCAACTAAGTATCCTATTCCCACTTTCTCTCCATACCCTTTGATCCCTTTATCCCTAAGGATGATACCTAATTCCTTGTTGAAAACATTCCACATTTTGGGCTTAACCGTGCACTCAGTGGGGATGCCAAGTGGCATGGCACACTGCCATCGGAGCAACACCCACCTTAGACAACATGAGCTTGAGGTCTGCCTGACAGGAAAGTGGTTCTTGACATATAAACTTATCAATCAGGAGTGCAAGTAGGCCGTTCAGCTCTCAGCCTCATCGGTTCCTCAAATAATGCCATGTTGATCTGGTTATAACCACAAATCCACATTTCCGCCTCCCTCTAACAACCTTTCATCCCCTTGTTTAAAAAGAATCTATCTACCTCTGCCTGAAAAATAGTCAAGGCTCTGCTTCCAATGCTTTATCAGGAAGAGATTTCCAAAGACTCATGACCTTCTCGACTGAAAAGGCGTCACCTGATCTTTGTTTTAAATAGGCAGCCCATGATTTCTTTTGTCGCACTGACTCCCGCATGTCAGATTCTCCCCTTCTTCCTTATCTGAGAAGACAAGTGTTTGGTCCGGTTCCCACTTTTTGAAGGTCACACCCCATCATTGAGCTACCATGTGCAGTACAAAACCCAAAACCATGATACTGAAAACCTTGTCCAGTGACTGCTTTTACTGATATAGCACAGACAATGAAAGTGAGTCTTCAGAAGACTGTTCAATGATGGCCCTCATGGTTCCATGGGCAGCATTGTAGCGCAGTTGGATATTTGTCTATGAGTTACTTCCTGGGGTTATTAGCCATGCCTTCTGGGCATCCACCTTTGTCAACCACAGGCCAGCCCTGGCAATGCTATTGGAAATAAACCTTTAAGGAGATTGGGAGCTGTGCCGAATGTAAGGGTTGTGACAACTCACTGGATAACGGGCCACCACCAACAGGATTTGTTGCCTTTGATGACAATTGAGGTGGGCATTGAGGCTAGGCCACCATTTATTGCCCATCCTGAATTGCCCAGCGGGCAGTTAAGAGTCAACCATATTGCTGTTGGTCTGGAGTCACATGTAGGCCATAACAAGTAAGTACAACAGATTTCCTTCTCTGCAGAACATTAGTGAATCAAATGGGTTTTTCTGACAATCAACAATGGTTTCATTGTCATCATTAGACTCTTAATTCCAGATGCTTTAATGAATTCAAAGTCCACCATCAGCCATGGTGAGATTTGAACTCAGGTGCTCAGAAAATGATCCTGTTCTCTTGGTTAATAGTCTAGCGATAATACCACTAGGTCATTGCTTCGTAGTTAAAAGTGCCCCTGAAAACTGAGTAAGACAAGCAGTTTTTGGCCCAAATGGGCTAGTCCTCTTTCCAGGTGAGTAGTGAGTTGTTTGCAGTTGAAAATCCCTTTTATTTCTCTGGACATTGCACTAAGTGAAAGCTATAATTGGAAAATTAAGATAAGAAAACAATAGCTTAGTTTAAAACAATCGGTTATGATTTTTAATGGCTTTGCTCTACATTCATTATGCATTTGAAGCATCAAATGTTCCTTTCCTAATCACTCTTGGTATGGTTTTGTGAAGGCAAACATGATATGTTGGTAGAAGTGTTGAAAGCTTCACACAGGGGGGCTTACCCAGGTTCATAATTGTAGTAGTCCTGTGCATAGTAGTCCTGGCCAGGATCAATCCCTGATTCCATGGAGAGTTCCTGCCATTCAGACAAAACGCATAATGGGTGTCTGTGCTCATGTGTGACCAACTTAATCTTTTGTTATCACTAACCACAAATGCATATCAGGAGCAGACAAACGATTGGAAAAGTTGACATTCTGAATGCAGAGAAATGTACATCTGCTAACTTGCCAGAATTATTAAAACAATAGATAAACTATTGTACCTCAGGTCTAAGCAGCGAGGGCCTCAGTAATTGCTGTTGCTGGAAAAGAGTTGTAAGAAAGAAAAGAACAAAAAGGAGGAGGTGGTAAAAGAGGTAGTATTTGGAAATCTTTGGTTGAGTTTTAAGCATCAGATATCTGAAGTAGTAGGATGTACACAAAAATGAATCATCAGCAAAAATAAGTGGGATTCTTACCTCCTGTTGTCCATATCCCCTCCTGCAAAGAATTGCATACAAATAACACATTTTAAAATGCAACCAAAATTTAATTTGAAACCATTAAACAGATAATGATGTCACAAACAGTTATTAACTTATAGCATTAATATTGCAGTTTAACCTTTAACATTACTAATATAAAAATGAAGTGTTCATCATGTAATAGCAATCATTGTGCCTTCATTTGAGCTAAGAGAATAGTGCAGTGAGTGCATTAGTGAGCCTTTTACATAAATAGCTCTATCACATTGAAGCTACATAACTAATAATAACTATCATTCATTATACATTCAACAAAACAATTAAATTCTGTACTTATTTTCTAAACATAAAGTTAAATATTAAATATTTTATCAGGAAACCCTAACTTAAGGGAATCTTGTCAAAATCTTGACTTGTATTCCGAGAATCCAGTATTACAGTAATATAATTATTTTAACATAGCTGATATATGAGAATATCATAGAATAAAGAACAGTACTACAGAGGAACAGGTCCTTCGCCCTGCGGTGTTGTGCCAAACATGACACTAAGTCAAACTAATCCCTTCTGGCTGCCCACGGTTCATTTATCTCCATTCCTTGCTTATTCATGTGCTTATCTAAAAGCGCCTTTAATTCCCTCATTGCCATATGCATATTCTCTTCCAAGCCACACACCATCTTAATTTGGAATTGCATAGCTGTTCCTTGACTGCCACTGGGCCAAAATCATTGGAATTGTCTTCCCAACAACATGGAACTGCAGTGAATCAAGAAGGCACCTCATTACCATCTAGTCAAGGGCAATTAGGGATGGGCAATATATGCCAGCATTCCCAGTAACATTCTCAGTGAATAAAAAAAACAATATGTACTACTGACTCAAAACTACTTAGAGTTGTCCTCCTATGTATATATTTGAGATGCAAATGTCCTTTTGTACTGTACTTGCTTCATAAGGATTACAACGTACAATGAAAGCTCTTATCCAGGAATATATCAAAATGCTGAAAGCAGTATCAGATGGTCAACCATGACAGGTAAACGTAAAATAGGTGTGATTTTAAATTTATAGATGCACTTGATTTCTGTGGAAAAGGAAGGGTCCCACTTTAGAAATGAAATAATCTTATTTGGTTTCTGAGAACAATCTCACATCAGACTGAGATAGTAAGCACTGCCGATGCTGGAGTCAGAGATAACAGAGCATGGAGCTGGAGGAACACAGCAGGCTAGGCAGCATCAGAGGAGCAGGAAAGCCAACGTTTCCCATTTCTGAACTCCCCTTCCCCCGTCCCAATTTCCGAACTCCCTTCCCTCTTCCCCATTTCTGGAGAAGGGTCCCGACCCAAAACATCAGCTTTCCTGGTCCTCTGATGCTGCCTGGTCTGCTGTGTTCCTCCAGCTCCACACTGTGTTATCTCACATCAGACTGAATATCTCAGCTTGTGCGTGGCAAAAGGTGTTATGTGCAGTGCTATCCACCAAATGAGAGAAACACAACATCTTGGGATATTATAACTCACAAGAATCTAAGTTACATTCTGTAATTAATTACTGTGATTCGCATTTAAAAGGGAAATCAATGCAAGAGAATAAAAAAGTGCAAAATATTTCAGGAAACACATTTGCATACACAGGGGAGAAATGGAAAGGCATGATTTATTGTCATGAATAAAGTCACAATCTGCATAGGCTAAAAATTAGAATTCAGTGCCAGTAAAGGATGATCAAAAGCAAATTACTCCAATTGTCCTCTGATGTGAAAGTAATGAGGAATTAATATGTAGATTTATCAAGATGGATAATTTGATGTTCATAAAAGGCTACTTATTATTATCTTGCATCTGGCATCTCCAAACAGTGATGCACATAATTTGTTTGCAAGGCTAAAGCAGATAATTTTATTATGTTAACCAATGCACAAAGATTTAAGGATGTGTTAATGGTTACATCCTGATATTTAATCAGTTAATCAGCTTTTAACCCTTCATTGCTCAGAGGCATCAAATGTTTAGTGCGAGCTAAAAAAGTACAGTTTAAGTGATTATTGTTAGAATTAGTGGTTTTCAAAACAACTTGCAGCTTTTAGTCCTGTGGTAAAGATTATTTTTTAATTGAAGATTAAGCATCGTGCCCTGGAGTTTTCAAAACTGGGAACCAGATCAACATCTCACTTTCACTGGAATTTACAGCAGGTTAGAATGAAACAACAGAATTAAACAAACCAGAAAGGTATCTGGAGGTTAGTTTCTTTGCATCAAACTTTCTATCCTTACCTACACTCTTCTCAAGAAAAATTGAAAAGGTACCACTGGGCTTGAAAACTGTAACATTGAAAATATGGAAAATCGGGAAGCAGTGATTTGATGATGCAGAAATAAAATCTCGATTAAAGAGAGTCAGGAGCAAACTTGGACCTAGAGTCATAGACGTTTACAACATGGAAGCAGATGCTTCGGTCCAACTCGGCTACGTCGACCAACTCTTCCAAATTAAAGTAGTCTGACCTGCCTGTGTTTGGCTCATATCCATCTAAACCTTTCATATTTGTGTAATTGTCCAAATGTCTTTCAAATTTTGTAACTGTACCTGCATCCACCACCTCCTCTGGCAGTTTATTCCGTATATAAACCACCCTCTGTGTGAAAACGTTGCCCCTCAGATCCATTTTAATTTTTTCTCCTCTCACCTTAAAAATATGCCCTCTAGTTTTGAACTCCTCTACCTGAGGGAAAAGACTTTTGCTATTTGCCTTATCTATTCCAGTCGTGATTTTATTAACTTCTCTAAGGTCACCCCTCAAACTTCTACACTTCAGCCTCTCCCTATAACTCAAATCCTCCAGTCCCAGCAACATCCTGGTAAATCTTCTTTGAATCCACTTCAATTTAATAACAGAGACAACAAGGTGCAGGGCTGGATGAACACAGCAGGCCAAGCATCTGCTCCTATGATGCTGCTTGGCCTGCTGTGTTCATCCAGCCCTGCACCTTGTTGTCTCTGATTCTCCAGCATCTGCAGTTCCTACTATCTCTGATTCAATTTAATAACATCCTTCCTACCTCAAAATGACGTCCCAACTCCGATACACAATGGTCTGAGCAATTAAGGCAAGTGTCCATGTCCATGTGATGCAATTTTCAAAGGACAGTGTACCTGAACCCCTAGGTCTCTCTGTTCAACACTAACCAGGGCCCTACGATTAACTGTATGTGTCCTGCCCTTGTCTGTTTTACCAAAACGCAATACCTCGCATTTATTCAAATTAAACTCCATCTGCCACTCCTCAGCCATTGGCCCAATTTTGGTGTCATCCGCAAACGTACTAGCCAAGCTTCCTAAATTCTTATCCAAATCACTTACATAAATGACAAACAAAGTGGGCCCTGCACTGATCCCCGCAGAACATCATTGGTCACAGGCCCCCAGTCAAAAGAGCAAACCCCCACCACTATCCTCTATCTCACTACCATCAAACCAATTTTGTATCCAATGGGCAAGCTCTTCCTGAATGCCATGTGATCTAACTTTAGCAATTAGTCTACCATGTGGAACCTTGTCAAAAGCTTTACAAGACAATGTCTACTGTTCCGCCTTCATCAATCTTTTTGGTTACATCCTCAAAAAACTCAAACAAGTTTGAGAGACACGATTTCCCACACATGAACCCACGCTAACAATGCCTAATCAGTCCTTGCTTCTCCAAATGCATGTAAATACAATTTCTCAGAATACCCTCCAACAACTTACCCACCACTGATGTCAGATTCACTGGTCTAATGTTCCCAGTTTTCTCCTTATAGCCTTTCTTAAATAAAGGCACAAAATTAGCCATCCTCCAGTCCTCTGGCAGCTCAACCACGGCTGTAGATAATACAGACATCTCCCACAACTTCTTCCCTAACTTCCTACAATATTCTGGGATACACTTGATCAGGTCTCAGAGACATATCCATTTTTATGATTGCTGAGACCTCCAGCACCTCCTCATCTGTAATGTCAACTGTTTTCAAGATACCTGATTTACATCACCTTCATTTCTTTGTCCACAATAAAAACTGATGCAAATTATTCGTTTAGTATCCCTCTCATCTCCTGTAGTTCCACACATAGACAAATTTGTTGATCTGCAAGGGGCCGAATTCTCTCCCCAGTTGCTCTTTTGTTGTCAATGTACTTGTAGAATTTTTTTTGGGTTATCCTTTACCTTATCCACCAAGGCTTTCTTATAGCTCCTTCTTGCCCTCCTGATTTCTCTCTTAAAAATGCCCCCACACTCCTTATACTCTTCAAGAGATTCACCTGATCCCAACTGTCCGTACCTATACATGACTTCTTCTTATTCTTGATCAGGGCTTCAATATCTTTATTCATCCATTGTTTCCTACTCTTACCAGCCTTGCCCTTCAGACAGGAACATAATGCCTCTGAACCAATAGATGTGGAGCTGGAAAAGCACAGCAGGTCAGATAGCATCTGAGGAGCAGGAAAGTCAACGTTTCAGGCTGAAACCCTTCATTAGGACTGGGGAGGGCAAGGGGACACCAGTAATAAATAAAGAGAGGGTGGTGGGGCTGGGCAGGTGGAAGCAGGCAGAGGGTTATTGTGATTGGTCAGTGGGAAGGGTGGAGCAGATAGCTGAGTAGGAAGACGGACAGGTTAGGTCAGGTCAGGGAGGCGAGGAAGAGGGGGAGGGCTGGACATGGGATAAGGTTGGGGATGGAGGGATTTTGAAGCTGTTGAAGTCAATATTCAGGCCACTGGGCTGTAAGCTCCCAAGGTGAAATATCAGGTGTTGTTCCTCCAGTTTACATTTGGTCTCAATCCGACAGTGGAGAAGGCCCTAAGGATGAACGTGTCCTCAGGGGAGTGGGAGGGGGAGTTAAAATGGATGGCAACCATAAGGTTGGGTTGGTTGGTGCGTGCAGAGTGCAGATTCTGCGAAAACCGGTTCCTGAGCCTGTGTTTGGTCTCTGCGATATAAAGGAGACCATATCAGGGGCAATGGATACAA